GGTTGATACATGAAAAACTTTGTTCCCCTCCTCATGGAGACAATAGATAAAAACTAAGTCAGTTTGGTGTTCACTAAATTTAGATGAGCCAACACTTCCCTTTACTTTTCTAGAATCTTCCATCTCTTCCAGAGAGCCAGATTTCTGGCTCTGGTGAGGTTAGTCTTGAGACCCTTTAATGATGATTTATTCTTGGCTTGCCATTTGGATGCTACACCATTAAAAAGAAATCCTTGACTGACTGACTGTAGAGTCTTTTTCATTCTTGGCTCATCCCTTTACTAAGGTTTTGTGGGGGGCGTTGAACCAGTCAAGGACTGGCACTGAGGCTGAGTCTTTTGGGTAGGGTGAGGAGCTCTATCCACATTCCTCCCAGAGGACCAGGTACTTGTTGTGGAAAAAGCACATGAGAGCAGAATGGACCCCAACTTCTTTGCTGCTGTGGCCCCCTAAGCTCTGGGTGAAGGCAGGTTGACAGCAGGGCTTTAAACAAGGGCATTCTGATTTCTAATCTGTTAGGATGATCCCTGGATGAGTTAATTCTTCAAAACAACTTGGTCTTTTAGCTCTTATGGATCAAAGCCTGATCTCTTTGCTTAGAAGATGAAAGCGTTCCAAAGGAACCAGGCTGTAAGGAACTTCAGATGCACTCATTTTCTCCTTTCCCAGTTGAAACACCACCAACCTCATTGCTGAATGTAGGAGGCCAGGGTCAAGGCTAAAGGGTGCCTCTTTAAAAATAAGAATTGGCAAAAGAGTCTCATTTCCAACTCAGATGAATTGGTAGTGATGGCCTGAGTGCTCTGGTGAGGAGAATTCTCCACTTGGGGAGAGGTATGGCCCATTAGTGATGGCTGCCAAGGTGTGGGGTTGAAGCCATTATAGAACCTGAGTGGTCAGCTCAGCTCTGACATTATATGCCTAAATGCAGTCAGTGAATCCCTGGTAGTTCTTTGTTATAGGGAAACAGAGACAATGATAAAAACAAGCTTTCTTTTCTTTGATCCCTCCCTTCAGTTTTGCCACAAGTAAAGGTAGAGAAGAATACTGACCAAATAGTGTAAAACATCTAAAGTACGATGTTTGTCTTTTGAAGGGAAGTATAAAGGAAAGAGATGTATGTGTGTGGAAATGCTGACTTGCTTAGCCATACCCACAGATGACTGAGTATTAAAATTTTCTCCTAAATGTGAGGCTAACCACCCAAGTATTTTCCAATCTATTTTTTTTTTAAAGCTTGACTTAAGAAGCACACACAGAGCAAATTAATTTTTTGGTGTTCTGGATTCTGTTATTCAGGGAGGTTTTCTACATTTTCACCTCGGGTATCTATACTTTAGTATGGATGCTGTCACTGTGAGAGGCTACAGAAAGCAGGGACATAGAAGTTCTATAGCCTCATCCGCCCAAGAAGATCTAGTTTAAAACCTAGTAGGGGACAAGTCCCAACAACTTAAAAAATAGTTCAACATGTGATGACTTTACAGCGGAGTGGTCAGGAGTTAAAACTACATTCCAGCTCTCTCATTTTCTAGCTAGTGGCTTTGGGCAAGTTTCTTAGACACTCCAAGCCTCAGTTTCCACATCTGTATGTTGGAACCCTATTAGAACCCAACTCAAAGGATTGTTTGGAGGATGAAATAAAAGAATGCATGTAAAATGTTTAGAGCGTAGTGCCTAGCAATAGCTCAGTGAATATTAATAAATATTCTTAACATTGAAGAATAGAATTCTGCCCATGTCTTAGGGTAAGCTTTAGCTCCAGGAAAATCTCTTTGAGGTTTTACAAGATTTTGTGGGATGGTTCTTTTTGGGGAGAAGTTTCATAGATTTGCTCAGATTGTCAAAAGAATCTAGGGCCCCCCAAAATGTTAGAAACTCATGAATTAGATGAATCTGGGAACTAGAGAAACACTGTCTTCCTTCACTGTCTTCTTCCTGCCCTCAGACAATCCTTTTGCTACAGGGTTGACCCTAATAGACCAGTTTGGAATTCCTCATTTTATGAAATTCTGAGCTACCTCTGATTTCACCAAAAATCCCCAAATGTAGAAGTAGGCTGTGAAGACATTGGAAGGTGAGGGACTGTTAGACAACTCTAGGCATGTGGAGTAGATTTTAGATCAAGCAGATGTTTTCTTTTGTCTTCTCCCAAAGAAGCTGGCCTCATAATTGTGTTGTTAAGCTGACCTTAGCTAATGTTCAGTGATGAAGCCAAATTAACTCACTCACCAGTGAGGCTGTCCACATGCCTAATGAGGCATTTGGAACCCCACTCTGCTTCCTGTTGCAACAGGTGGATTTAGACCCTAAACATGCTTCTTGCTTACAGTGACTTTTTCTTCGTTCTATTTCACTTGCAAATCTCAAAATGGGTGCTGATTTTTATTACTGCTTGCTGGGCTAAAGTTGAGGAGCAGCAGTGAGCACTGCTGTTGGAAGGTTTGAGACTGTTGATTGATGGATTTGATAGCATCGTTAATACTGTATTATGACATCACACTATTGCATCAAGGGCTCGTGACATTCTTGTTCTCTGTCAAATGAGGATGCTAATTTCCTACTATTCTGTCAGTATCTACAAAAGAAAGGTAGGGGGAGAACCAAAGAAAATAGCACATGTGAGCATGGGTTGCCCCAAAAGTTTGTATGTGTGCTCTAACAATACTCAAAAAGAAGACCTCCCACAAGTCATTATTTTCCCTTTGCCATTCGGACCTGCCTTGAGAAATTTCAAGGACTCCATTATGAAGAAAGCTTTTAAGAGCCATAGAAATCTCATTGCTTTTGAAAGTGCGAACGCATGTGGTGTGCTGTGCTGTGCTGGCTGAAGCAGCAGGCTTCAGACCGCTTTATCTCTTATCAGTGGCTTGGCTTTGTGCATGAGAAATTCAGAGGCAACTGTATAATTTTAAATTCCGATTACCACAAAGAAAGAGATGCATCTGACATCCCAATGCCGTAGCTTTGACTATTTTAATGGAGATATGTTGGAACTAGGGGAACCTTCCACCAAGAAGATAGTGATGAAAGAGCGCGACAGATATTTTATCTTTGAGATAAAAGGCCTGTTTTCGAAGGTTGTTTCTTTTATTATAACTTTTTCCTGATCTGCTACTAGGGCACCATGCAAATGTATCATTCTAGGAGTTGTTTCCTTATCCTTTTTGTGCCTAAGATTTCTTTGGACAGGGGGAAGAGGGAGAACTAACTGGTCTTGTTTAATGAAATTTTTTATCTTTCATGGAGCCTTGAAACATCGGTATGGATCTATTTACCTCTTTGGTCCAAACCTCATGCTACTTTTGGCCTAAAATAAACAAAGAAAGATCCTCTGATTTAGCTGCTGCTAAGGGCAGTGTTGCCAATTTAATTTTATTTCAGCTGTTTCCAAATAAATGGCCGAGGGATTCCCTTAAGTGCCTTTGATTAGGGTCTGGTAAATGGGGGTCATTTACATTTAAAAAATCCTTCCTCCTTATCATGAATACTCATACTTCCAAAGAGTTATCCATAGCTGATACTTTTTTGTTTGTTTGCTTTTTAAACTTCATATTGAAGTTTCAAAAGATGTCTTTTTTGTTGTTGTTTGCATCCTTCTACACCACAGAACAAAGACCCAGCTTCTTAGACATAAAACCAAACTGGCATTCATCTGGTCCCTCCCAGAATCATCTTGATGAAAAGAATTTTACTGTATTTTTCTGTTCCCATGTATATTAAGATGCTTTTTCCAATACTTCTGATTATTTATAATTCCCACTAACCCTTCAAGCCTGGTGTGGCTTGAACAATAAGTAGAGTGGCAATGTTGATAACTGAAGTGATGGAGGAGAAAAAGACATGTTAAGTAAAAAATATTCTCCAGAGGACCATGGAATGGGCATACCTGTGGACTATGGGAGGGTGAGGTGGAAAACTTTATATGAATATAGACAGCAGAAATAGTCTCTACAAGAAAGAGATTCTCAGGGTAAACCATAGGTCCCCTACTTCACTTCTCATTACACAATGATGCTGGACTGCAGGACTTGGTATGTATCTGTCTATGAAGGGTCTTGGAAGATCATAACTTTCCTTTTCCACTAGGCTTCCCCTAATTCTGTCCTCCCTGTTCCCAGGAATCTTCTGAGCCTCTGTTTCTCTGGCAGGTGAATCGCTTACTTCCACATGGCTTGGAAAGCAGGCTTTCCAAATGTAGGGTAAGGAAGGACTTCCTTCCTGAAACACTTTGCCAAGTAACTATATTCCCAAGCCTACACAGAAACATAAGCTTACTCCCTGCTGTTGGGAAATGTGCGTTCTTTCCTGCTCTCTCGAATGCATACCACAAAAACCTCTAGGTCAGGGGTCAGCAAACTTTGTAAAGGACTAAATAGTATTCTATGCTTTGTGGGCTACATAGTCTCTGACACAACTACTTGACCCTGCTGCTGTAGTGTAAAATCAGAAAACATGTAAACGAATGTATGTGGCTATGTGACAATAAAACTTTATTGACAGGAAAAGGTGGTGAGTCAGATTTTTTTCTCAGTGGTAGTTTGCTGACCTCTGCTCTAGGATCAAACCTCAAGCAAACTTTGGTCTACGGTTGCTGGATATGCTATTTCTATCCATAGAGAAAATGACCTGAAGGATGATCAAAGCCACTTCAAGTTTATAACATTTATACCTTGGATAACAAAGCAATTATAAAGCCACATGTCAGGCTTTTACCTTGGTAGATGTCACCATAAGGGCTTTTGAAAGCCTCTGTGATACTTGAATAGTTTCCTAAGACTTCTATGAATTCTTGAGCAGATATCAAATAGAAGTAAATGTTGAATGTATTTGGAAATCAGTTTTTAATTTGTAAAAATCTTCTGAACAATATTAACATACTATAACTTCTAGTATATTGAAGGTTCATTTGAACTCTTTGTTATGATACCATCTGTTTAATATACCCAAAGGTGTGATTGTCTAGAAAATATCACATATAAAGATTAGAAAGAATTTCATTTTTTAAAAAGTAGGTGTTAGTAGATTTTAATGTAAAAGCTTTTCTTCCCACCCAAGAATTCAGGTAAAATTTTTTCTCATGATCATGGACAAATATTCTAGTTTGAGGGTGTTGGGATAAAAAGATGTACATTGAGAAACTTAGAATGCATTTTACTACCAATTTCTGAAATCTGAACTGAAATACATAATTTAAGCCATACCAAATTTCCTGCTTATTACTTTGTATATTGTGGTCACTTAGCATAAATGAAAAATAGAATTTTATCGTATCTGTTCCCAACAGGTATGTGATTTATACTGTTGATTGTTCTTATTTTTATTGTATTTGTGATCTCATCACCCTTAGGATTAAATTTTGCATGTGGAATCACACCAGTCTTTTTTATTTGCATAAAACATCTGGTGCTAACCTCATTCTTTCATGTAGTGATTAGAACAATATCTAAGGAAAATGTTCTGGGGACTTTTTGCTCTTTTGTCATCCAAAGATAATGAACTTGAGATGGCAAAATGCAGAGTGTCTTCTTAAAAAACAATCACCCATCTTAACCTATCTGGCCACAAACGACCTCGTAGCTATTATTGTTTATCTGAATGATATGGGGTAGGTGATCCTAGTAGCCAAGGAGGGCCTTTCCTGGCTTGGAAAAACCCCCTATTGATACATACAGATTCTGACAGCATGGCCCTGTGGGATATTAATTCTACAGATCCAGAGTAATCTGATGTCTTTTATGGTTTTCCTTTTTGGACCCTAGTGCTGCAAACCAACCAATCACTGGGTCTCACCCTAAGAATGACCAGCCCAACTCTCTGGATGAAATACTGAGCGAGAGTGCTCAGAGTGAGTTTGGGGTCTGGATGCCAAAAGCAACATCACTGGTTCATCACTGGCCAGGCTAGGACCCATCCCCCATCCCCCACCATCTACTTGTAAGTGACCGAGCAACACACAGCTTGCTTTTACATCTGTGTGTGCAAATCTCAGCCTGACGCTTGAGTGTCATCTCAAAAAAATATCAGATCTTTTATTTATCTCCTGTACAAAACACCGCCTGCTTGTAAAGTAAGAAAAATTAAAACCTCGCTGAGGGAAAAGTAAAACAAACCCGAATGCCACCCAGGCCTACAAATACAATTTCATTTAGACTTGCAGGGCCACTGCTTTCCAAATGGCATCCAGGACAGTCTAAGCCAGCGATGAGTTCATTCTGGGCTCCTGAGAGTCCTCATCTGCCAACCATTTGGTTTATCTATCAGCTGTTAAGATGTCCAGTCATAACTAAGTCATCCTCCTCCAATCTCCCAAAATAAACTATAGGTAACGAGATAAATTAGATGTGCTTCTCCTTGCTGAGTGCATTGACTTAAGGCATAGGCACATTTCCTCCTCTTTGAACAGAGATGGTGTAATCCCCTGTCCCAGCACAAGAGCTGGCCAGGGTGACCCTGGAGCATGATGATGAAGGTGGGGTGATGAGAGGTAGCTGATGGCGGGAATTCAGGTGCTGCTTCTACATACAGGGGAGGAGGTACTGCTGGGCCCCACGGGACACAGTGATTCTCATAAAGACACTTGACTTAGTTTATATTATCTTTCAGTGAGCAATTCTGGTGGCACGTAGTGCTTCTTAGAGAAAGCACATTAGTGGATTTAGGAATATGAATATCCCAGGACAAATATAAGAAGATCAAAGTCAGAGAGTTTGTGCATGCCTTTAAAAATAAAGGACATGTTTTTACATTACCCACCAATCGCAAGAAACATAGTAAGCATAATTAGGTTCCTGATGCTACTCTTAATTAGACATCCAGGCTTCTCTTGGAGTAGGAGTTCTGCTCTTGGGGATTTTGAATAACCTGATTATTGTGTGTTGAAATATACTGGATAAAGTCAGAAGTGGGAACAGAACAGCTTTTAAGCCATTTTTCCTTTAAACAGAGACATATCACCCATTTGTTCATTGCCTGTCAGCCCACTGAGTAGTTTCCAGCTGACTGAGGAACAGCTGTTATCTTATTTTGTGCTGATTTACAGCTCCTAATTTGATTGTGGGAGAGTCCGGGAGTTTGAGGGAGCAAGACAGCAGAAGTTGGATGAGTAGTTCAAAATGTGCTGAAATTCATCCTCCTCATTCATTCAACTACAAAAACCTCAATATGTTTGGCTGCCAAGGTAGGGCAGCCATTTTGGGTTCCTGTGGCTGACTTCTACAGCGTTGCCAGTCCCTACCTTGAAGAGGAGGAGGTTAGCCAGCTTTACTAAAGCTAAAACAGGAAACCAAATGCCTATTTTTGATACAAAGGTCTCAGAGCTTGAGTGCAGCTTTGAGATTCCCGCCATCACTCCCTCACAATGACACTAAGGGAGAAGATACATGGCTGCTCAAACATCTAGATGAAGCTCGTCAGTGTCGAACATGCTGTGTGATTCTGAATAGTCTGGGGAATGTTAGGACGGATGTGTATTTAGATTTTTGTCACGTAGGTGGTGGGGATGGGATGGAAAATGACAGTGGCTATCACAGGGTCACCCATGGTTCCTTTTGTACTGAAACCTCATTTTATACAGAGGATATATATATTTATTTATATATATTTATATATATTTATATCCACCCACATATGCAAACACACTCAAGCGCACACACACACGCATACACACACACAAAAGGTCTTTGATAGGCTTTCTGTGTTCTAGTAAAAATAGCTGGCAGCCAGCGTCTAAAGCCAAAAAAAGGCCTTGATGCTGCTGACAATGTCCACTATGGATAGTCTTTCAGAGGCAGACACTTGTGTTTATCTGACAAGTGGACCCAGCTCCTGCCTGAGACAGGAATAATCTCCCATTGGCGCAGACGCAGATCTCGAAGACCTTCTGCCTCGCTCCTGTAGGCGTGTAGGATCCATGAGGCAGCCTAGGTAGTTTGATTTTCGCAGCATCTAACTTAATCTAAAGAGAGAATGGGAAGGAGAGGATCAGTCAGAGGCTGTCATCTCTTCTCTTGACATTCAGAAACAGCAAATGAATGTTCAACTTAAATCTAATGAGCACAGGTTATGTGTTGATTGTTTTTGGTACTGAGGATTTGGACACGAACAAGACAACATCTCTTCACAGAAGCTTAAATTCTAGCAAGATAATGCTGCACTGGTGTATGTTAGCATTTTGTGAAAGAATGTCACACAGAATGTGAATGGAGTCCTTAAGTTGAATAACTGTGAAAATGCAGCATTTAACAATTTTCTTTACTATGGACTTCTGAGATCCTACTACGACTGTGTACAAGGTGAGTGTTCAAGAAGAGAATAGAGTAGGTAACATTTTCCAACTTTTAAATGCTAGTGAGCCTTTCTGCTTTTTTTTCTTTTTCTAACAATTTATGGGCCAATAGTCTATAGAATATACTTTGAGAAGAACATGCCTATAAAAATAAGCAGTGGTGGAAGGTGCCATTAGATTTATGATTACAACTGATTCCTCCAGAGTTCAAATTCTGACAGCTATAAACTGCATATGTGAAGTAGTCACTATTTTTATATGTGTGGTTTGCAGTTTGTGGCTGCTTGAAGAGGCAGTTTTAATAATTGAATGCTCTGACTATCTCTTCTAAAACAAAATAGCACATGCCATACCAATCAAAAGGGGGACTTTTATATCCACAGAGTGGATGTACAGAAGCAGGTAGAGACTAATAACCACTCTCATTGAATAGTCAGGTGGAACAGCATTTTTCTTACCAAAAAAAAAAAAAACCCAGAATTTTTACTCTTATTTTTATGATTAAGTAGCAGAGTTCACTTTGGAACACTTTGAAGGCATTTTTAAAAGTTTACAGACAAATAATATTTTGGGGGTGGGTGGCAATTGGCTTGTCTTGCTTGCAAAAACACAAGCAACATTTCTGTTCACCCAACCGTGACTGTGTTAGCCTAAGAGAATAAATATCTGCACTGTTTCATTCCCTTGTTGCCTAGTCTCATCCTATTAAGTATTGGCTTGTTCTGATTGGGACAGCTGTTCAATCTGCCTCCTCATTTCCAATGAAAACAGAAACATGTGACACAAAGTAACAACAAGTAAATTAAGTTCATCTTTAGCCAGATGTGTATAATATATACAGCTTAATTATGTTGACTAACAAAATCTTATTTTAAGGTGACAAGAGAGAATTTGAAAATGGCATTCATTTTTTTATGGTCATGTAATTCTGTACTTGGAATACATGCCATTATCTCTGCATTTTGCAAATAAATCATCACGCTGATGGATTGTGGGTTTGGCTGGTAATCATGCTGTTCAGTTAATTGTTTCAGAAATAAAACCTGCTTGGCTCCTTTCGTTGTTTCAACTCCGAGGCCAACCAGATATGGGAAGGGTTGGCCTGTTGGAGGGATGGGTTGGCCTACGGAGCTGTAGCTCTTTGAACGTCTGTCCTTCTCACCCCTCACCTCTCCATCTTTGGATTCCAGTCTCAGCTCTGTCCTGCAGGTGGCTTCCATATTGCCAGCTTCTGCATTGATTTCTACTCCTTTTGGGGCCTCCATCACTAGAGACCGGGTTGGGGACTCCAACCTGAAAAACACATGACGACAAATAAAGATCCCTTTGTCTTTTTAATAAATACAAAAGGAAGTTTATGCTCTAGGACATTGACAGAGCATTTCAATATGTGATCAGAGAATTTTTTAAAGTTTTGCTTTACACACCTGGTCAAGTTTATGACAGGGAACAAAATAGGTCTAGGCTTTATCTTCATTGCATTTTACAAAGGCTGTAAGGAAGGTGTTCTAGGATCCTGGTTTCATTTTATCTTATATCCAGTTGTTGTTTTATTGGTATAATTAATCAAACTCTTATATAAGCTTTTTTTTTTCCTTCTTTTTTTGTAAGAGTAAGGCAATCCTGGATCTAAACTGAGCTTCCTGGAATTGGTAGGTATCCCTTCTACTTTGTCCTGCTTTTCTGTCTTCCATAGAGGCAGAATCAGATAGAGGTTAAGAAAATGGGTCTAGGAGTCCAGTGTGCTTGGAGTGAAGCCATGGGGTGGACACTAAATGACTCTGGCAGTCTTTTTTCCTTGACTTCCTCTTTCCTTTCTAAAATTTCTTAAGGCCCTAGTTCCTCATCTATAAAGTGCTTCAAAAGTGCCTGACACAATAGACATGCAAATATGTGTTATATAATACTATTACTGCTGTTACTATTGTTATAATACCAGCCAATCATAATGAAGCCTCAGGCCTTAACCTTCAATGCAGCTGTCATTTCTGCATTGCAGAAAGGGTCAGTGGTTGCCAGGGGCTGGGGAGGGGAGGTGGTCTGACTGTAAAGGGATAAGACTGACGGCATAAGAAAAACATGTTTTGGGTGATGGAACTTGATGGCAAGGGTGGTGACAGGTCTCTGCGTATTTGTGAAAACTTTCAGATGAGTGAATTTTATGGTATGTAAGATAAAAAATAAATTGAGAGGAGAATCAGCCACATTCTATGCTAATTATGATGGCAAAACAAGATAATACTCCTCAGAAAGCTTTTTGCCTAATTCATATAATAAGAAAAAAATTAAAACTCAACCATCCCCTAAATATTCTAGATTTTATTTTCATTTTTCTTAGAAGCAGGGTCTCACCCTGTTGCTGTTTCAAATTCCTGTGCTTAAGTGATCCTCTCGCCTCAGCCTCCTGAATGGCTGGGCATGTGCCACCACGTGCCATTGATTTTTTTTTTTTTAATTGCATTTTAGGTTTTGGGGTACATGTGATGAACATGCAAGATTGTTGCATAGGTACACACATGGCAGTGTGCTTTGCTTCCTTCCGTCCCCTCACCTGTATCTGTCATTTCTCCCCATGCTATCTCTTCCCACCTCCCCACCCCCCCGCCCCTCCCCCATTTCCCCCCAACGGATCCCAGTGTGTAGTGCTCCCCTCCCTGTGTCCATGTGTTCTCATTGTTCAACACCTGCCTATGAGCGAGAATATACGGTGTTTGATTTTCTGCTCTTGTGTCAGTTTGCTGTGATTTTTAAATTTTCTGTTAAGATGGGGTTTTGCTATGTTGCCCAGGCTGGTCTCAGATTCCTGGGCTCAAGTCATCTTCCCTCCTTGGCCTCTCTAAGTGCTGGCATTACAAGCCTGAACCATCATACCCAATTGATTTTAATGCTATTACCAGATAGGAATGTATGAAGATCCTCCTCTCTGTTACAAAGAAAGTATCCTAACTTAGGAACAGAGACCTCAGCAGTGGTTCTCAAAACACTGTGATCCAGACCCATTTCCCGAGTTTAATTTCTGTGCTTCTGACTGTTAAAAAGAAACGTCATTCTCCTTGCCCACTGCTGACTCTCTGTTCTGTTTTGTCATTGCCTCTGGGTAGGGTAAAGCCTCTTGGGCCTCAGTAAGTGGCAAACAGAGCAAACTGACCAGTGAGACCCACCATGGAGCAGCCCCCAGCCACATTATACAAACACCAAGAGAGAGCTCATCCATATTTCTGGGGTCAAGGTTCTTGAGGACTGCTTCTAGGCACCAGCCTTCTCCCTTGATTTTTTTTTTTTGCTCTACAATGACTCAACTAAAAGTCATCATGAGCAGCAACAGTCCTGGAGTACTTAGGAAAGGATTGGCCTGAGTTTCTTTGTAAAAAATTCTTTCTTCTGTGGCCTCACTCCTTTGTGTGTGGCAAAAATGCCCCACTCCCCACCTCCCCTCCTCTAAAGACCTTCACCAGGTTGTGCTGGACCAGGTGCCCTTCTGCCCATTATTGTGGTTCACCTCATTTGCATTCACTTTGATAATGTCAGTGCAACAGGGAGCAGGGGTCTTATTAGCAGGAGGAGATGGGCAACAGAAAGTGATGTCTGTGCAGTACAGCCTGGTCTGGAACCTTAATCCAACTCCGTGGAGCTGCCCCTGTGCTCTTGACTCCCTCTCCCTTTTGAGTTATGAAGATGGTTTCTGCCACTCTCTATTTTTCGACTCCTATACCGTCTGACTGATGTACACAGTTTTTCCTAGGTTTTCTAAAGACGACTTCCGTTTCCACTAATGCTGATACCTTTCTCTTTGTAGCATGGGTTTGCACTCTTAAAATACCATCTGCACACCCCTTATCAGTGGCAATGCCATCATCTCCTTTCTCCAGGTGAGAGTCCTCCTGTCATCTTTTCTCTTTCTTCCTTTTTCCCTCCCTCCCTTATTTCATTAATTAACTCAGCTTTTAAGTCAGAACTTCTCCATTCTCAGAATCAAACCGGGGACTGGCCACTAAATGATCATGGGCAAATTTTTCTTCCTTTCCCTCCTCTTTTCTTCCAAAAATTTCTTAGAATGATTCTCAAATGTGAGCATCAGAATCACTGGGAGGGCTTGTGGAAGAGTCACCTCTAACCTGGACTACTGTAACTGTTCTCCCAAGTTTTGTCTCTAATTTTTCCTTTTTCCCAATGAACTTCTCACAAAAATATATCTTCCTGAAGTAAGTTTTGAATATGTTACTTATCAAAACTTGTAGAATATGTTCTACAAGTTCCTTAGGAGAGATCTGAACTCCATTTGGAATTTGTTCTGATCTGTTCTGCTCTCTTATTTCTTGCCATAAACATCAGTTATATTTTATTGAGAGTTTACTAGGTGGTGACACTGCTAAGGGGTTTACATGTGTTACCTCGTTTAATCCTCACCAAAATCTATCAATCTGGTGTTTCTGTACTCCTGATTATACAAACAAGGAATCAAAGCTACAGTGACTTGCTCATGGCTATCCTTCTAGTAAAATGGCAGAATCAAGATTTGAAATGAATTTAGTGGACTCTAGAGCCAGTATTTGTTTACTATACCATATTAGTTCCAGAAAAACTGTATTTCTTTCCATCTGTTGTATCTTCACCCCTATTTTCTGTAATTCTTTTTTCAAGAAATGAATGCTTACATTTATAAAACCAATCTATGTAAACAATAGTGAGATAATAGTACTACATATGGCTGAGTGGTGCATACTTCATGTTATTCAGTATTTCTCATAAGTTATTTAAACAGTCTACATCAGCAATATCAAATTTAGGATATTTGGAATTGTTCACACTTGGCACATAGAGTTCAAAGTGAATGATTCAGTATAAACACAATAGTTTGGGGAAGAAGAAAGCTTGAAGTAGAAAAAAGTATGGAGCTTACGGAACTTGATCAGATGCAGGACTGACTGGCATTTCAGACAGGTATTAGAATTCCCTTTATTCCTGCCTACTCCCTAGGCCTCTGAGATTAGCAGGAGGGACCCAGGCTGGAGGGGCAGGCTCAGAAATGACTCCTGCCTTTCCCCTCATCTCAGCCATGAAGGAACCAGGGCGCTGAGACAGGATGCTACTCTGAAAGTGTTGTATTGTGAAAGGCTGCAACACAACAGAGATGATGATTTCCTGGAAGCAGAGACAAAAAAGTTAACAGGCTTTCTGTTGTATAGTCCAGCTTAATGTCCTTTGATGTTCAGGCAGACTTAACAGACTTTGTTCACATGCTGATCTTTCCACTGAGATAAAGCTCCTTGATGTGGTTTGGCTGTGTCCCCACCCGAATCTCAGCTCATATTGTAGTTCCCATAATCCCCAAGTGTCATGGGGGAGGCTTGGTGGGAGGTAATTGAATCAGGGGATGGTTATTCCTACGATTTTCTCATGATAGTGCATTCTCATGAGATCTGATGGTTTTATAAGGGTCTTTCCCCCTTTGGTTGGTACTTCTCTTTCCTGCCACCTTGTGAAGAAGGTTCCTCGCTTCTCCTTAACCTTCCGCCATGAATGTAAGTTTCCTCAGGCCTCCCCAGCCTTGGGGAACTGTGAGTCAACTAAACATCTTTTCTTTATAAATTACCCAGCCTTGGGCAGTTTTTTATAGCAATATGAAAATGGACTAATACACTCCTACAAAAGCCTTGTGAAAACTGCAGAGAGCATCACTTCTAAAGTGATGTCCAGTCAACCTCTACCCATAGATTGATAATCACAACACAATTGTTTAGATAGCACATAGTAAGGAAAAATGGAAGAAGGTTTCCTCCTGATGGGGTGGCAATTAAGGGTCCTGCTGGGTCTTGGAAATGAACATGACTTCCATTAGGAGAAAGTGCAAGGTTCCTCTCAGAGGAGAAAGAAGAGCCTCATAAAGAGATGCAGAAAGGAGGAGTGGCTAGGAAGTATGGGGGCCAGAGCTGGGCTGGGCCAGGCTGTGTCATGTCTTCTAGAAGAATGGTTCTCCAATGTGAGCATCAGGATCACCTGGTGGGCTTGTGAAAACAGTGCTGGGTCCACTCCCAGAGCTGCTGATTCAGTAAGTTCTAGAGGGGTGCCCGAACATCCACATTTGCAACAAGTTCCCAGGTGATGCCGATGCTGCTTGTTTGGAAAGCCACACTTTCAGAAGCACTGTGCCAGTCCAAGGGTCATAAACTCAAGTGACCCCCACAAAGACTAAATAGGCAATGACAATGAGTGACCCATAAGAAAGATATAAGTAAAATGCCATTCTCAGAACAGTAAATTGTGGTATGTGGCACTGGCCTAAAAGTGAATGT